TAGTTTTATTGTTACATGAGAACAGTTTTTCTGCAGATAACGATGGCTCAGATTGCAGTGGGTCACAGTCAGGGTCACGGCACCAGCACCGATTGCTGCGACATGGTCTTACCTTATCAGAGACAGAAGCAAAAAGACAAAAGCAAGAGGTGAAGAAAAAGAGAGAAAGAGAAGTCCAAGAATCAGAATGTGTTATTGGTGAGTCAAAAGTCTTTGAAAACTCAAAAGTACATTAGTTATATGTATTTATGCAGTTTTTTACTCTTCAAATAATAGTACCTTAGTGATGATTCTTCAGTCAGATATGGTACTGTTTTGTTTTTATCGTAGTGAGTAGTGATGAAACAAGCGTATCGAGCGGCATGTATGATGAACTCAGCCATTCAGAGTGTGAGGAAATGGGGTAAAGCTCATATCATCACAGTTTATTCATCAACTGCAATCTGCTCTGGACATTAAACACTCACAAAACAACTCATTTTCAATTACTACCTACTAATAATAAGCCTAAATATGTGAAGGTTAATTTTTTTTAACTATTTATTTTGTAGGTCCCAGTCGCCCACTCATAATGAGGAGTTTCAGAGTCCATTGCGCACACCTGACAAGAGCACCACTGCTAATGTGTGTGTTTGTACATCCTTTTACTCCATAGATGCTGTGAATGTGGATTCGTCAATAATTTAAGCTTTTTTATTTTGGGGGGTATAATGTGCAGAATGATGTCTCTCCAACCACTGAGGAGCATTTGAGGGGCACCCCTCGGGGGCGGAGGCAGATCAGACGGCTTCTGGAGGTGGATCAGCTGGCCCAGGAGACACAGAGCGCTCTGAAAGAAGAGGAGGAGCGCAGGAGGAGATTAGCAGAGAGAGAAAATCTGAGATTGGAAATTGAGAGGAGAGAACGAGAAGATGCAGACCCAGAGGTGATGAACTTCATGGTGTCATATTCTGTTCTGATTTGTAAATATTAAAGAGAGAGTTTACTAAGAAATTAAAATTCTGTTATAATTTACTCTTCCTCATGTCATTCCAAACCTGTATGACTGACTTAGTGGAACACAAAATATGTTTTAGGGGATTTTTTTTGTCAATACAGTGAAAGTCAGTGGTCACCAAAATGGTTACCTGCATTTTTCAAAAATATCATCTTTTGTGTTCCACAGAAGAAGGAAGATTTTTT